TGATTCTGTTTCTATAACCCAAGGGACTGGAGACTTGTCCTCCGCCAGGCCTCAGGAAGAGGACATTGTCCTTCCCATCTGGAGGGGCCACTGCTGTGGGATGTTCTGTATGGCAAATGTGTTGCTCTGATTGGTTAGTAAATAAAACACTGATTGGCCAGTAGTCAGGCAGGAGGAAGTATAGGTGGGACAAGGAGGAGAAGAATTCTGGGAAGTGGAAGGCTGAGTCAGAGACACTGCCAGCCGCCACCATGATAAGCAGCATGTGAAGATGCCGGTAAGCCATGAGCCACGTGGTAAGGTATAGATTTATGGAAATGGATTGATTTAAGCTATAAGAACAGTTGGCAAGAAGCCTGCCACGGCCATACAGTTTGTATGCAATATAAGTCTCTGTGTTTACTTGGTTGGGTCTGAGCGGCTGTGGGACTGGCGGATGATAGAGATTTGTCCTGACTGTGGGCCAGGCAGGAAAACTCTAGCTACAGGCCACTTCAGGGGGTTGGGTCTGGATCTCATCCTGGTCACCTCTCAGGATGAAATGTTGGAAGACTTGGAGCATCCATGCCAAAGAGCAGCTTAAACCCAAACTTGAGAAAACGGAACATCTTAGGACATGTCCGCTGTGTCGGTGGCGGTTCTGCTCAGACACTGGTTCATGTCTGTGAGCTGCACCCATCTCTGCAGAACCTCCCTTCCTGGGCTTCCTGAGAACAGCAGTGGTCACGTGCCTCACATCTGGCCTTGAGTGCCGTCTGGCGCAGATGAGTGGCTCACAGGAAAGGGTCTCCAGGGCACTGAGACAAGGCTGGCATCCGGGGCCCACTGCAGAGAGGACCCCTTGCTTCCACCCACTGGTTGACAGGGAAGCCAGGAGCCCTAGGCCTCCCCTTCCCATGCCCCCTGGGTGAGCTCTGCCTCAAACTGGACTGCAGCCTTCCTTGTGAACTGGTCCTTTGTGCTCACAGAAGTCCTAATTACACAGGCAAACAGACCTCAGTCTAGCGCCGGGCCGTCCAGGAGTCCCTCTCTAGACATCACTTGCTGGACTGGAATGGGCGGGAAGGACATGGGGCCACCCTGCCTCCTGACGTAAAAGCCTCATTGTAAGGAAAACCCTCCCCTGCCCCCCCCCTCGCCATTCCCACGAGGTGGGCACACCTCCGCTTTCCCTCCCTTCTCTCTCTTTCTGTCTCCTCCGTTCCTATCTGTCTCTTCATCTCTCTATTGTAATAAACTCTCCACGCGGATGCAGCGCCTGCACATGAATGACTTTCCATGTGCCGCCCCCACTGCATCTGCCCAGCGTGGTTTCCCTCACGTGTGGGGTACCCTGACCTGGCCAACTGGGGGTTCCCCACTCTTGCAAAGTCAGAACAAGGACCACGGGGGAAGGACTTTCTGTTCCTGCCTGGGAAAGGCTTTACTGACCTCCGTGCAGGGCTGAGAAGGCCAGAGTGTCAGTGCTGAGTGCTGCGGAATACCTCAGAACCCTGAACAAGGGCCACAGAGACTGAGAGAAAGTTGTGGCAACCTCTGCGGAGTCAGGACTGGAAACATCCCCATGTGGTCAGAAAAACTGCCATTACAGAGCGAGACCTGAAACTGCCTTGGGGCCCAGACCTTTGTTCTCGCCTTTCTTGTGTGGTTGGGGTGCTGGGTGAGAGCAGGTCACCTCAGGTAAATGAGGAAAGGGGCTTCAGTCAGAGGCAGAGCTCATCCACCCAGACAGGAAGGGAAGGACCAGAGTTTCCAGATCCACTCATTCAGCGAGGAGCAGGGGTGGCCTGGGCTTCCTCAGAGCAGCCCCCAGAGCCAGCCTTCTCTCAGGCACAGCCTTTGAACCCCGTTCCCATGAGCCAGCCGCTGTATACTCACACTTTCACAAACACCGTGACCTTTACCTAACAGAGCCCGGGGAAAGCCAGAGCACAGGTTCCCACTTTGAAATGCTTCCGCACACCAAGAACGGCATGGCTAGCCCACGGCCACCTGAATCATTTTTTCCAGATGTGGCGAGAGGGAAGCAACCAGCTGGTATCACGGGGAAAGTCCTGGACTCAACTGTCAGTCAGAGGCCGGCAAGTCCCCCAGACTGCAGTTGCTGGTGGTCCTGCCTCCTCGATGAACCTTCTCATCTGTGAGGGGCGGGGGCAGCGAGAGGGGTAGTGTCCAGGCCTGGCGTTTTACACAGAGTATGCATGCACTCTAAGTGTAAGATTGCACAGAATTTAAAAGGAAAAAAAAATTTTAGAGTCAAACTCTGCACCCCAGGCTGGCCTCAAATCTGCAATCCTCCTGCTCCATCCTCCCAAGTTACAGGTAAGAATAACACACCTAGTGTGAGAACACTTAGAAGCCTATGCCATTGATTTGGTGATGGGATGTAGAGGAAATGTACACTGGACTTGGTGTTAAAAATTCTGGGCTCGGGGCTGGAGAGATGGCTCAGTGGTTAAGAGCACTGTCTGCTCTTCCAGAGGACCTGGGTTCAATCCCAGCACGTCTAAGTTAAAGGCCTCTTATTTGGACTAACAGCCCCAAGTACACCAGGCCTTCCACAAGCCTGTCCTCTTCCAAGGGAAGAAAGTAGCTGTTGTTGGTGGTTTTTACTCTTTTGAGGGTCCCACAACCCAGCTCCCAAATAAATCACACACAGAGGCTTATCTTAAATTATAAAAGCCTGGCCTTAGCTTGGCTTGTTTCTAGCCAGTTTTTCTTAACTTTTAATTATCCCATCTACCTTTTGCTTCTGGGATTTTTCCTTTTCTTACTTCTGTATACCTTTTTTCTCTTACTCCATGGCTGGCTGTGTGGCTAGCCCCTGGAGTCCTCTCTTCTTTTCTCGCTCCTCCTCCTTTCTCTCCCAGATTTCTCCTTCTATTTATTCTTTCTGCCTGCCAGCCCCACCCATCCTTTCTCCTGACTTGCTATTGGCTGTTCAGCTCTTTATTAGACCATTAGGTATTTTAGACAGGCAAAGTAACAAAGCTTCACAGAGTTAAACAGGTGCAACATAAAAGAATGCAACATATCTTTGCATCATTAAACAAATATTCCAGAGCATAAACAAATGTAACATGCCTTAAAATAATATTCTACAAGTTGCTGCTGGTTGTCTTGGGAACCTGCAGGAACCTGGCCACCGGCACAGCTGTAAGTTTCTCTTTTCTCAATCAGGGACCCTCTGCAGCACACCCACGGCTTTGCCTGCCATTCTCCCTGCTTTGTGGTTGAGGGAAGAGAACATTAGTCACACATCTCACTGGTTTTCTGCTCTCTCCTTATGATTCATTTTTATGAATGTTTCAGGAAAGCGCATGGAGACCTCTTGATTCAGTGATCTTCTCTCTGCCAAGCTGATGACCCTTCTTTCTGTAGCCCACTCTTCCTCAGGGATAACAAGGCCAGGGAGCCTGAGATCACCAGATGCCTGTCCTGTCCCCTCAGAACTTGGGGGATAGGTTTGGACCTCTTGAGTAGTGGCCTCATTGTCTGCTGTCCCCTATGAAAAGTAGAGGCCAGGCGCCAGGCTGAATCCAATCGATGAGAGAGAGGAGAGATTCTGCAGGCAGGGGACGTCGAGATGATGATGGGAAGACGTGCAGAGATGACTGGCCACACTAGTGGAAGCCCATGAACTGTAGCCTAGTGGCCGTGGAGCCCCCATGGGACTGGACTAGGCTCTCTGGATATGGAAGACGGTTGTTTGGCTCAAACTGTTGGGGAGGGGCACCCAGGCAGGGGGGTCGGGATCTGTCCCTGGTGCATGGACAGGCTTTTGGAAGCCCGGTGCCTGTGGTGTGGCACCTTGCACAGCCTTGGTGCAGTGGGGAGGGGCTTGGACCTGCCTAGCCTCAGTGTGCCAGGCTCTGCTAACTCCCCATGGGAGACCTCGATTTAGGGGATGTGGGGATGTGGGGTGGCTTGGGAGGGAGGACTGGAGGGTGGGATCTGTGGGTGGTATGTAGAGTGAGTAAAAATTTCTTAATAAAGAAAAATAAAAAAAAAAGAAAAGAAAAGTAGAGGCCATGTCTATCCTGCCCTCAAGAAAGGGATTAAGCTGAGATTTCTCCCCTGGTAGCCTCAGCCTTGGTCTTCAATATCAAAGAAGTTCTAGGAGTTGCCCTAGTCTTCCAGAATAACACTTGCGCTCCCAGAGCGTTAGGACCAGCCTGAGTCGTCTCTGATAGTTCATCACATTTGCTACGTGGACCATCCATGATTCCTTTCCTGGTTATGAATGACAGAACAACAAAAATGGCCTACATGCTTACCTAGGGGCGGTCTAAAAAAGAGGAGGCATTGGACTGGGCCGCTTTGTCAGTGAGCATGATGGAAAGAAGGCAGGCCTAGCCTTGCAGCTGCCTGAGGCCTGGGCCCAAGGAGTGACCTCGAAGGGGCCTGACCAGAAGGGAGGGTGGTGAGAAAACCCTTGATCTGTGGCATCCAGGAAACTAGGGAGGGTAGGTTACAGTTACCAGGTATGTAGTTCAAGGGAAAGTGTAGCTGGAGTCTTTCTGGTCCTGCCTGGCCCACGGTCAGGACAAATCTCTCTCACCCGCCAGTCCCACAGCCACTCAGACCCAACCAAGTAAACACACAGAGACTTATATTGCTTACAAACTGTATGGCCATGGCAGGCTTCTTGTTATCTAGTTCTTCTATCTTAAATTAACCCATTTCTATTAGTCTATATGTCGCCACGTGTTCTGTGGCTTTACCTGTTGCCTTTACATCATGATCCCTGGACGGCAGGCTGGCGTCTCCTCCCCTCCACCTTCCTGTTCTCTCAGTTCTCCTCTCTGTTAGTCCCACCTGTACTTCCTGCCTAGCTCCTGGCCAATCTATTGGTGAAATTATTAAGGCCACTACACATAGTTAAAAGAAGATTTATTTAATGGCGTAACTTACAAATGAAGGAATAGGTAGGTTGAGGGTTCTGGGAAAGACGCAGCAGTAGTCTGGCAATGTTCTCTGGAGAACTCTCCTCTGTCCACCTCTAGCGTCTGGGCTCCCAGCAGCAAGAGAGCGTGGCACTTCCCGATCTGGGGTCTTCAGGCCCTCCCTTGGCCCCGCCTTGTGGGCATGATAATTACCAAAACTGTTACCAAATGGGGGTTGGAACTTCCAGACCAAAGCTGGAATGGCTACCCACTACATCAATCAGTGTTTTATTGATCAATCAATCATCCACAGCAGGAACAGACCTATGATTAGTTTGAAAGGTCCTTGATCTGAGGGTCGGAGAGCACAGGAATGAAAATGGGTAAGTATGCAGCAGTCATGACGCCTGTATTCTCCGGAGAGTTCCTTCCCCTGGTACCTCACACTGAACCCGGTACTGATAGACCACCCTTTATAGGCAGGAGAGCAAGCAGTTAAAAACAAATATCAGGCATCTCAGATTCAAGTGTATCTTTGTACTGAAGCATGCTACATGCCAGGTCCCTTGATAGGCACTTTCCCAGGAACTGTCTCCTGTAGTCCTCAGACAGGTGAGGCCTGTGAAGGTGACCAAGGGTGTGAATACAAGTCTGTAAGTCCAGTATCCCTGTATATTAAAAAAACAAACAAACAAACAAACAAAAAAACCAGCACCTCTCTGATCCTGGAGCCCACCAATTTGGCTAGGCCAGCTGGCCAACAAGCCCCAGGGATCCACCTGTCTCCACCCTCTGGCACTGGGATGTAGTCAGACTTGTTCATTGGGACCATTGGCTCCCCAATAACAACAAGAAGACTTATTATTAATTATAAAAGTTTGGTCGATAGCTTAGGCTTGTTTCTAACTAGTTCTTATAACTTAAATTAACCCATATCTTTTAATCTGCATTCTTTTATGTGGCTCGGCCTCTTTTACTCTATAATGCCATGCTGCCTGCTCTGTATCTCCTGGTGTCTCTGCCCTTCTTCTCCTCAGCTCTCCCTGTGCCTGGAAGTCCTGTCTAGCTATTTGCCACTCAGCTTTTGATGAAACCAATCAGAGCGGCACATTTCACAGCATACAAAAAGATTATTCCCCAACACTGGGATTACAGGTCTGCAGTGCCTGGCTGTGTGTTCGTTTGTGTGCTGGGTATGAAAACTCAGGTCCCTGTTCTTGCACAGCAAGCATGTTTCCTGCTGAGCCACCTCCATGCCCCTGTCCCTTTCTACCTCTGAGACAGAGCGGGGTTAGCTCTGTCTTTCAACTGACCAGAAAGCAAGTCATCAATTAGCCTTGGGGTCCCCAGGACCATCCCAGACCCCATGCTGCTGGAGGCCGGTAACCTCCTTCTGACCCCTAGCTGGTCTCAGCAAGAGTAAGGAAGAGGGAACAGCTGGGCATGGAAGGGGCAGGACCTGAGTCCAGACTCTAAGCAGTGTGCTCATGCCTACATCTATCTTGGGGGTATAAGAGTGACCAGTGTAAACCAAAGAGGTGAGCTCACCATCCGCTGTGCTTTCTGCTTGGTTTTGTTTTTGTTTTTTCTGTTTGTGGGGTGGGACCAGTCAATAGACCAGAAGCCTGTCCCTAGGTAGTAATAGAACCAGGATTAAAATCTAGGCTGTGGGACTCTGGCATTGAGGAGATGTCCTCCTGAGTCAGGCATGATGGCTCACCTTGGAAATCCTAGCACACAGTAAGCTGAGGCAGAAGGATTGCTGCAAGTTCAAGGTCAGCCTTGGCTATGCAGTGAGTTCCAGGCTGAAATACAGCATGAGACACTGTCTCAAAAAAAGTGAAAAGCTGGATGTAGTAGCCTATATAGTTTTTTTTCTATTGCTGTGATAAAACATAATCGAGGCAACTTATAAAAGACAGAGTTCAGCTGAGCTTATGTCCAGAAGGAAGGTGTTTAAAGCAGCGGCTGAGAGCTCACATCTTGATCCATGAGCACAATGTACAGAGCTCATGGGGGAGCTTCCACATTCAATAGTCATGTGACCAAAACAGATTAAAGACTGTGTGGCAATGTGAAATTAAAATCAGGGTTGCACACCATGTCACTAAAATCATGTACTCACACTAACTTAAAACTTATTTTTTACTTATGTATGTGTGTGTATGCCCACATGGGTGCAGTTGCCTGTGGAGGCCAGTAGAGGGTGTGGACTCCCCTGGAACTGGAGAAGGCAGCTGTAAACGCCCCCTTCATGGGTGCTGAGAACCCGTCTTCTGCAAGCACAGCAAGTGTTCTTAACTGAGGGGCCATCTCTCTCTCCTGTTTTTATAAAACAGTCTTGAATTACTATGAAAACAACACAAAGTTCTCATACTGTATTCAGTTTCCCCTTCAGTAACATGCTATATTTGCAGGATACAGTTTTCCTAATTAATGGAACAGTGCAGTGCAGGCCTGAGTTCAGTTGCTAGAACCCACATAAAGGTGGAGGGAGGGAACTGATTCCACAAAGTTGGACTCTGACCTTCACCTACATGCCTTCCCTGACATACATGCCATGCACACAGAGTAATAATAATAAAGTAGTTTTTCAGAAGGACAGCAGTGGAGATCTGTAGACAACTTTGAGGAATGGGCTTCTAGAGTAGATAGGGACATCATATTGTTAAGCCTGATGTCTGACTACCACACAAGTGTAAGACTTATTTTTTTAAATTGTAGTTTTAATTATGTGTGTAGGGGGAGAGACAGAGACAGAGAGACAGACGAGAGACAGGGAGTGAATGTTAGTACATGTGTGTGCAGTGCCCTCAGAGGCCAGAAGAGAGTGTGGGATCACCTGGAGCTGGAGTTACAGGCAGTAAGGGGTGCTGGGAGTCGAACTTGGGTCCTCTGAGCCATCCCTCAATCCCCTAAAAGACTTATCTTGAACTCACTTCTGGTTCCATGGTCATTTGAGTCCAAGGAGTCTCAGCAGAGCTGTGCGCTGGGGCTCCATGAGCTCTACTCCCTCTGAGGTAAGACAGAAGGACAGGAACATTCAGAGGTCATGAGAAGGGGAAGAAACCCCTCACCCAGAGTCTGGGTGAAGCCACTTGAGAAGCAGGAATTCCAGCATGATTAGCATCTGCTAGAGATAATACTCCTTTCACATACACAACTTTTATTTACATGTAAGTCGAAATGTATTTAACCTTAAGTAGGGCCTCATTTTCCTTTTTTTTGTTTTGTTTTGTTTGGTTTGGTTTTGTTTGTTTGTTTTTTCAAGACAGGGTTTCTCTGTGTAGCTTTGGAGCCTGTCCTGGATCTCCATCTGTAGACCAGGCTGGACTCAAACTCGTAGAGATCCGCCTGGCTCTGTCTCCCCAAGTGCTGGGATTAAAGGCGTGTGCCACCACCGCCCCGCAGGCCTCATTTTTCTACCAGACGTTTTCTTGGAATAGAAACCAAAATGTTGACTTTGTTTACAGTAAAGATCTACAGGCAGAGGCAGGCAGATCTTTGTGAGTTCGAGACTGGTCTACAAAGTGAGTTCCAGAACTGCCAGAGCTACAAAGAGAAACCAACCAGGTGGCCCCTCAAGAACCACCTTGTCATCCCATTCGGTTCCTTGGCCACCCTTTGACGACGGAAGCTTCAAACTCTGAAAATCCTCTAGATGACCATTGTAGAGACAATGAAGCACCCCTCGGCTCGGCTCACGCCCATGTTTTCTTTCTGAGTGCTTCTCTTTCCACACTTTAGTACCTTTGCTAAACTCTGACCCTCCCTCGTTACGGCTAGTCCTGAAATCTTTTCTGAACCAAGGCCACAAATCTCAGGTCCAAGTGGAAGTCCCTAAAAGACTGCGAGCACTCGGGCTGCTGTAGGTGACGGTGGGGAGCGGAACCGCTGCCCTTCACAACGCTAACACCCCACGACGGCCCCCACACTTTCTGCTCACCTTATCCAGGTCCTCTAAGAAGCTGTCCCCCCAGGTTCACCCAGCAGAGCTGCTGTAGGGACCGAAGGAAGCTCCTGGCACAGTCTGGGCAAGGACGGAAACAGGGCACTGCAGCTGACAACTGAGTCTGCGGTAATGCGGCGGCTGACATTCCTGGAAGGAGGAGAAGGTCCTCCAGTCACGACTCTCCCTGCCCAGGTGCATGTGGTCCTTGGCGTGCCAGAGCACACAGGAGGTGGAAGATTGACAGGGTGGGGGCATGACACACTCATGAGTCAGCCACCCTGGGGCTGACTTGCTGACGGCACAGCCACTCCTGAAGCATCCTTGCCCTGTAATTAATTCTGATAAACTCACTGGTTTGCCAAGCTGGACAGAGTCCTGTTCTGTCTGTCGGTAACCTCTTTATCTATCCAGGAAGTCATGTGACAGTCCAAGGAGTCACCTGGAATGAAGAGAAATCCATTTGTGTTAGATGAGAAAACGAGCACTTAATAGCAAACCTTAGTTTCAACTGCCAGAGTCTAAAAGGTTAGATATTGCTAGAAACTCCTGGAACTCTGCTGCAGGCTCTGTAACCTACATGTACACATACATTGAGATACATTTACTGTATGATGTATGTTAACATCAGTAGTTAATAGTGGAATAGAGAGCCTATGTGCACCTTGGCCAGGGCTACCAAGACAAGGACTAGCTGGCAATGGCTAGTAACACACCTTGTGAATTTATAATTCGGATACCGTGGGAAGACAATGGTGTCCATCTATGCTTCTGACACACAGCAGTCCCAGCAAGCTCCAGAAACAAGCTGGTTGTACAATAATTTCAACTCCCTTCATTTGGCAGAAGAACAAACTCCAGACGGTAATCCCGTAGTTCATGAGGAGAGTCATGAAATACAGGATCAGCACAAAAGCAAAGGGGTTGGAATCCAGGAGAAAAACTGCCTGAAGCTCCTGAGGTAAGGGACCAGTAGCCACAGCTAATCATTAGGCTTCCCCGCACTGGCAAGTCCCTCACACAGGGCAAAGGGACAGGACAGACAGGAGGACACAATAGTGAGCAACTGTGGAACAAACGCACCCTCCTTTTTCCTTCCTTTCCTCTCGGGAGGCCTCTGATCACCCTGGATCACTCATAACTGACAAGGTACAGATGATCACCCTGGATC